CCCCAAAACCCCAAAACCCCAAAACCCCATTCGTAAGAATTACATAAATTTTAAGAAATTTTAATTTGAATCATGAAATTAAATGTATTAAAATCGTCAGAGTTCCTCAGTTTTGTAAAGATTTTTAAGTATATCTGCTTTGCTACCCTTACTCTTGTTCATCTCCTTCATGATTGAGTCATAGTTTATCAAATTAATCACGCTTTATGTATTATTTTTCTAATTTCTCATGTTAGCTCTACTCTGAATTGCTTTTAATAGTTCCTGCTAGCTCTTAGTCTTATTTAAGTTAAAAATACTTCTGTTCTTATAAATATCAGATTTATCTTGAGTCTACTAGCTACTATCAAATATATTATTTTATGAATTACTGAAGCCTGTAAACTCAGCAGTGTTTATCAACTTTTATCTAAATTTGTCATTAGAAATGATGAAGAAATTATTGATGTTTTTGTTATACTCCTCGATGTTATAGGTGTTAAACTAAGGAAGAGACTTCTGATTCATTTGATTTCTTAATCTTATATTATTAGCTGGTGTCTTAGATCTTAATTCATCTTAAAGAAGTTTAATACTTGGATCATCGACCCTTGATGATGATGTTCTTTCTCTAGACTATGAAGTCAACCTAGTTCTGAAGAACTTATTTTACTAACTTGAAGTTTGTTGTACAATTTCTTTTATCTTTGGAGGACTGTTTATTTTACTCTATTACTAAATACTCCACATGTTGAACTTAGACTTTTATATTGTACTTATTTTCTTTGAATTCTTTGTTGATTTATGAATATCTCCTTAAGTTAAAGTAATCTTAGACCTTGATGTTGATTACCTTTAAGATGTGGAAGATGAAAGTGAATCTAATTTCCTTTTTTCTTGATCATCTGACATTAAGTTCACTTTATCTAAGTGAAGATTAGTGTGTATCCTAATTTCCTTTATTTTATCATCGAGTTTCAATCTATTATTAAATTAAATTTCATCATCAACACTTATAGATGAACGAGATTTTTTTACTGGGGAATGATTACTGCTTTATGTGTGAAATTGAAAAGCTAGTTTTTCAACATGTTCTTATTAAGGTTCTTATTTAGACATAGCCCTAGATGGCTTCTAAAGCTGTATTTAACTTAAGTTAACCTTCTCTTGAGGAGGAAGAACTCCAGAGGTAAATCTGTTTATTTTCAATGAGACATTATCGCACTCTTTAACAAACTTATTGATGAACCTTGACTCATTTTTTTAGAAATCTACGAGTTTCTTGTTAATTTCTTTGAAATCTATTTATTATTGGCTACTTAATGCTGATTTAGATGTCAATGGCTTAGGGATATAAGCAGATGCATTAATACTTGCATTTAACTAAAGTTTAATTCTTTCTTTTTCTTGTCTAAGCTTCAATTGTTCTATTTCCTTCTGCTTTTTGATCTTATCCTCTTTGAGCTTTTTATATTAGAGATGAAGAAATGAGTTTTCAATCTTGCATTCATCAACTTCACTTTTTCTGTTCTTTGATCTAGGCTCTAAGAATATACCTGCATTTACTGCATTGCTATTTCCAGTACTTTCATCCTTAGACTATACTGTATTCTTAGTATCTGGAATATTAGACTCTTTAGGGTAGAGTTAAAATATACTCTAGCACTTTGTATATTCCCTTTTAAAATCTTTATAGTTGATATCTCTCTCGTACTATATTTGCAAGGTTTCATCACTATCCTAATCTTTATTGTTAATCCACTGAACCTGGACTTCAGTCATATCTTTCAATCCTCTGATTAGGGTTTTTATGTAATCAATGTTTAGCATGACATTTAAATGCAATCTTATCGCAGTCTGTATCTTTTCAAATAACTTGTTCTCTTGCTATTACTCCTTCTCTTAATTTAAGGTGATCATCATAAATTTCGATATTGTCGCTTTCCTTTATTTTTACCAATTCTTTGGAGTCAGCAATGAATTCTGTCTAGACATTCTTCTCATAGAATTTTATCTATCTGGTATAGCCTTGAGTGTGCTTGAGGATTGTAATTCAGCTGCAAATTCAAATGTTGATTCTGAATACATACTAGGTTTTAATAATGACCCTCTTCTACTCCCATTTTAGTTCGAATTTTTCTTTGTAACCGAGAGTAAATTATTATTTGTCTATGGGGAGTTCATCTCTAATGTTTCACTTGGAAGATATTTCTATACTTTCATATTTAGTATATCGAAGTTCATTTATGGTATTGTTTATTGCATCTTGTCTAGTTTTGCACTCACTCTAATTATATTTGGTTAATATTTTTGTTTATCCTTACTTTATCATTACATCGGCTAAGAACTGAAAGATCTTCTATCTAAAATTATTTGCTTGATGAATTTTGTTTTTATACTCAAATATTTTCTTGTAATTCTCGTAGAGATATCTCAAGTGAGTAATAGATTATGAACTTTGATTCTCTTCGCTCTATAAGATTTTAGATATGTTTCAAATTACCATTAGTTTTTGTGAAGTCTTGACCTCTTCATTCAATTTCTAAAGCTATTCAAGCAGGTTTTCCCTCAACAATTTTTTGTTATTTTTTTCAGCACATTGTTCATCAAATGACACATTTAAGAGTTAGTTCTTTATCATGACTTCCTCATATTGCGAGATGATAAACTTCTCTCTGATGAGCAGCTTGTGCTTTATATCCTCCCATCTGACTTGAATTTATAAAGTTTAGTACTCTCCTTTTTTCTCTCTTTCTTTTAGAGTCAAATTATCAATCATAATGATGCTTTTTTAACTTTGATTTAAACTCTAGTATTATTTCTCAACAATTGAGCTACTGTTGTAATTTTATTGTTAAGGCTAAAGCTTTTTTGAAAATCCTAATTCTTAATCCAGCTTTTCAAGTAGTTTCAAATATGAAAAGATAGTTTTGAGATCAGACTCAAAGGCAAAGTCATTACTCTGTTTTCTTTCATTCATAAATAACTGGAGCTAGTATATCATCTCAAGTTTATTCAATAGATCTTCCTCAGTATTCCTCTTGACAAAAAATTTCTAGATAATTTCGTCAATTTTGATTGAATCGTTTTACTTCTTCAACAATGTTAGTTTCTTTTTCGCTTACTCAAGCTACTATTGCTTCTACTACATTACAACTTTCAAATTCTTAGTTTCGACCTCCTAATCTTAAAGCTCTATTCTTTTTTCTATAAGCCTATCATCTTTGTTGTTTTTAAAAAAGCTCATATCACCTCTACATTTATAGATTCCACTTGTTGCTGTGTTGACTCTAGTTTAGTTGATGAATTTAGCTAGTTCTAATGTACCAACTACCTAACCCATATCTTAAACACTTGGCATCAATTACTTTAGTTTTATGTGATCAAACTGCCTCTATCTTTTAAGGTCATGTTTTACGAATTTCAAGCTTTCATTATCTAGTTCTTCTCGATCACATTTTAGATTTGTTTCCCTCAGCTTTTAAATCAATTCTGTCATCTTCTCATTAAGTTCACTTAAACTGTTGCTAGTTACATGAACTCTTAGGGACATAAATGGCATGAAATTTCTGGTTGGATTCATAGGTGTGACATTGAAATGGTTGAAGGATTTTTATCTTTGTAAAGTAGCATTACTGTTAAATTTATTCTGAATATCAGTTGTAGTCATTTCAGCCTTCTCAAGATATTATGATTACTGCTGATTTTAAGTAAACTCTGATTGTAATTGCTATAATAAAGCTTGCTTCTTCTTGTATTCATCATTTAGATCATCAAGCTTCTTTTTCAGCTAAAAATAATAAGTAAAGGAGGAATAGAATACATTTTCTGCATTTATAATCTAATCTGAACTCTGAAAAGGTATTGCGACTGTTTTTGGCTTGCATAGACTGAGCAAAGGGGTTGCATTTACTTATATTTCTAAATTATTATAGGATTCATTCAAAATTACTCTTTTTATTGAGCATAGGAATACTCTAGTTTTAAGGACTTAAAGATGCCCTCTTATACTCATAATTTATTGGCTAATGCTAATTTTGATAAGAATTGGGGTTAAAACTATGTAATTCGTTCATTACTGCAATTTTAGTTTATTTATTATGCTAATTTATTCATCTAAATTATAGCAAATTTTTAATAGTGGGGTTTTGGGGTTTTGGGG